CTCGAGACGTCTAGACAGACTGATGTGTAGTGCTGGGGTGGAGCTGGTGGTCGTGGTACATGTTGGTAACAGTGACCTAGGGAAGGGTAGGAGAGATGTCCTGGAGGCCAAGTGTAGGCTGCTAGGTAAGAGATTGAAGACCAGGACTCCATGGCAGCATCCTCTGAGATGCTCCCAGTTCCACGCGCAGGGCCAGTTAGCCAGGCAGAGGCTGAGATGATGGTGTAGGGAGAAGGGGGATAGATTGACTAGGAACTGGGGAAACTTAAGGGCTGGGGGAAAGCCAACAGGTGCAGAGGAGCACGTGGTTCGAACAGAGACATCCCTTAGGGGAGGATCTCTTAATGGAGATGGTCTATGTCCTAGTACGGAGGAGAGGATGGAGGATGATAAAATAGAGGTAGGATCTGATGAGAAACAGTCAAATGAAAAAAAGCCCCATTCTATTACATCATGTGATGGCAGACAGTTCCAAAGTGACAAGTTTTTAACGTGCTTATATACCAATGCTAGGAGTCTAAGTACTACGCTGGGTGAACTAGAGTGCCTCGTATTCAATGAGGATATTGATCGAATCGGCATCACAGAAGCTTTGGGGAAGGAGGATAATCAATGGGACACACTAATCCCAGGGTACAAAGCTATCGGAAGGACAGACCAGGTCGTGCTGGTGGGGGAGTGGCGCTAGATGTGAAAGAAAGCGTCGAATCGAATGAAGTAAAAATAGTAAATGAATCAAACTGGCCCATAGAATCTCTCTGGATATAATCCCAGGCGCTAATCATAAGAATACCGCGGTAGGGATATATCACCGACCACCTGACCGGGATGGTGCTAGTGACTGTGAAATGCTCAGGGAGGTCAGAGAGGCTATTCAAATAAATAAAAAACTCAATAATAATGGGGTGTTTCAACTAGCCCCATACTGACTGGGAACATGTCACCTCAGGACGGGATGCAGAGATAAACTTTCTTGACACCTTAAATGACTGTTCTTGGAGCAGCCAGTCCTGGAACCCACAAGAGTGGAGGCAATTCTTGATTTAGTCCTAAGTGGAGCACAGGATCTGGTCCAAGCGGTGAATAGAGCTGGACTGCTTGGTAATAGTGACCAGAATATAATTAAATGTAACATCCCTGTGGTGAGGAAAACACCACAGCAGCCCAGCACTGTCGCATTTAATTTCAGAAAGGGGGACGACACACAAATGAGGAGGTTAGTGAAACAGAGATTAAAAGGTTTAGCACCAAAAGTGAAATTCCTGCCCGCTGCAGGGGAATTTTTAAAAGACACCATAGTAGAGGGTCAATTTAAATGTCTCCCCCAAATTAAAAAACCTAGTAAGAGAACCAAAACAGAGCCACCGGGGCTAAACAACCAAGTGAGAGCAGCAGTGAGAGGCAAGGCGGCATCCTTTCAAAAGTGGAGGTTAATTCCTAGTGAGGAAACTAGAAAGGAGCATAAACTCCGCACGTGAAGTGTAAAACTAGAATTAGCAAGGCCAAAAAAGCTTTGGAAGAAGCTAGCCAAAGACTCTAATAGCAAACAAATGGTAAGTACATTAGAAACAGGAAGCCGCTAAACAACCAGTGGGGCCACTGGCCGATCAAAATGCGGAGGGAGCACTCAAGGACGATAAGGCCATTGCGGAGAAACTAAATGAATTCTTTGCATCGGTCTTCACGGCTGAGGACGTGCGGGAGAGCCCCACACCTGAGCCGTTCTGTTTAGGTGACAGATCTGAGGAACTGCCCCAGAATTCAGCAATGAGGCACCAGGTCCAGATGGGAGTCACCCACGAATTCCGAAGGAACTCAAATGTACGGTGACCAGATGTCCCGATTTTATAGGGACAGTCCCGATTTTGGGGGCTTTTTCTTATATAGGCCCCTACCCCCCACCCCTGTCCCAATTCTGTAGACTATCACAGGGTTCAGAAAAGTGCTAGAGAAGTCCCTGGAGGACAGGTCCATCAATAGCTATTAGCCAGGCTGGGCAGGGATGGTGTCCATAGTCTCTGTTTGCCAGAGCTGGGAATGGGCGATGGGGATGGGTCACTTGGTGATTCCCTGTTCCGTTCATCCCCTCGGGGGCCCCGGCACTGGCGCGGTCGGCAGACAGGACACTGGGCTGGAGGGACCCTTGGTCTGACCCACTCTGGCCGTTCTGATGTCAGTGAGAAAAGGCACCTCGGCCTCGGGCTGGGCGCAGGCATCACTCGAGAACCCCTGAGGCCGGGGGCGGTGACCTGGCTCCGGGCATGTGGGGCAGACGCCGGGCCAGGGAGCCCTTCCCCCGCACTGACCCCTTCTGCCCCCCAGGCCGACACCAGCTCGCTGAACGGCGACAATACCCTGCTGGAGGAGAAGGCGGCCGAGGCCGCGCAGGACGCCCCGGTGCCCCCGCCCCGCTCGCCAGCCGGCCCAGCCCTGGAGCCCACCGAGGCACCGTCCAGTCCCCAGCTGCCCCCTGGCTGCCCCCCATCAGCCGTGGGAGCCAAGCTGCTGTCGCCCAGGAGGGGCGGCCTGCCCCGGACGCGGCGCCTGCCACCCGCTGCCGGCCTCCAGCTCCACAGCCTGCCCTGGATGGGGCCCCCCGACCTCAGCCCCAGGTAAGGTATGGGTGGGGGGCGGAGGGGCTGCTGAGCCGGGCCTGGAGTGAGGCAAACACGGGGTCGGGGTGTTTCCTGCTGGTTATCCCGGGGCTGGGCACGCCCAGGCAGCTTCAGGCAACGACCCCCCATGGGGCAGGGGCGGCCCAGGGGTAATGGGAGCGGGTGGGAATGGAGCCCCCATGCTGGGTAGGGCCCCGTGGCTCCCCCAGGGCTGATGCCGGGGGAGGGGGGATCCCAGCCTGCTCCCCCTGCCCGGTGCTGGGCGGCCCTGGGGCTGATGGCCAGGGAGGGGGGGATGGAGCCTCTGTCTGTCCCCCCCCCCCGTGACGGTGCCGCTCTGCACTACAGGGTGGTGGACGGCATCGAGGAAGACGCCTGCGGCTCGGATAAGTCCATGTTCAGCTTCCAGGTCGGCCCCTCGGGCCCCAACTGCAACAGCCCCTCCCCCGGGCCAGGTACTGGCAGCCCCCGGCAGGGGGCGGCTCTGGGAGGGGCTTGGGCACTCGGACTCCTGGGTTCTCTCCCCTGCTCTGGGAGGGGCTGGGCACTAGGACTCCTGGGTTCTCTCCCCGTTCTGGGTGGGGCTTGGGCACTCGGACTCCTGGGTTCTCTCCCCGGCTCTGGGAGGGGCTGGGCACTAGGACTCCTGGGTTCTCTCCCAGCTCTGGGTGGGGCTGGGGCTCGGACTCCTGGGTTCTCTCCCCCACTCTGGAGGGGCTGGGCACTCGGACTCCTGGGTTCTTTCCCCTGCTTTGGGTGGGGCCATGGCTCGGACTCCTGGGTTCTCTCCCCTGCTCTGGGTGGGGTTGGGGCTCGGACTCCTGGGTTCTCTCCCGTGCTCCAGGAGGCCTAGGTGCTAACCTGCCATCTCCCCTTGCCCCAGAGAGCGGGTTGCTCACCATTCCCCTGGGCCCCGCAGAGCTGACGGGCGCCGACGCCATCGAGAAGCTGCGGCAGGCGGTAAGTGCGTGGGGGGGCTCAGCATGTGGGCAGCCAGCGCCCCTGGCATCGTGCCCTGGGTGGGGCCCAGGGGGTTGGGGGAGAGCATTGGTACTGGGTACCCGTGCACTGGATTCAGGGAGCCCCAGGCCAGGGGAGGGGGCCTGGGCGCGGTTCCCCCACCCAGCTCGTGGGCCCCTGCCTGGCCCAGGGTGCTGCCCCTGGCACTCACCCCTCTCCCTGCCCCCAGGTGGCCGAGCTGTCGGGGCAGGTCCTGCAGATGCGCGAGGGGCTGCAGTCGCTGCGCCAGGCTCTGCAGCTCTTCCTGCTGTCCCAGCCGCCGGCTCCGCTCGCCCGCCCCGAGGGCACCGCCTCCTACGCGGCCTCGGCCTTCCCCGGTACCACCCTGCTGCAGCCGCTGCGCGTGGAGACGGGCATCCCGGCCTTCTTCCTGCACAGCGCTGCGCCCGGCCCGTGTCTCAACGCAGCCTGTCCCCGCGCCCGGCCTGCGCCCCCCTGGGCCTGGGGCCCACCTGCCTCCCACAGCGCCCCGTGGACCTCAGCAGGGGGGACAGACACGGAGCTCGGCAGCACGTGGCCAGCGGCCGGCCCCAGGGACCTCACTGCTCCCACGGCAGCACCGGCCTCCCCTGGCCCCCATGGACACCACGGGGCCACGCCCTCCCCACAGGCTCCGCCAGCCCCTGAGACGGACCCCCCGGGACCTCCAGCTCCGGCCGCTTTGCCTCTGCCCTGGGACCCGCCCGGCCTGGAGATGGTGCTGCTGGGCTGCCACGGTGCCGTGAGTGCCCCCTGCTGGCCCCGGGAGGAGGGCACAGGCATGTGAAGGCTGCACCCTCACACACACTGGGATTTTTCTGCCCCCCTGGAGAGCCAGGGGGCCTGGCTGGGCCGCACAGCCCCTGTAGGGAGCCCCCGCCGGCCACGGGCCTCGTTCCCAACCCAGCACTGCCGCTGGGGGCCGCCCCCCATGAGCACTGCCACAAGGGGGCCAGCACAGGAGCTGCTCCCCGGAGCTTGTGGCAGACCGGGTTCCACCCGCCCCCGAGGGCACAGCCGGCGGCGAAGGGGCAGGGCCCCGCCTGGCCTGAGGAACGGGGGGGAGGCAGTGGGGGGCAGCCGGGCTTCCAGTCCATAGGGCTTCCCCTCCCCCTCCCTTTTTACATTAAAACAGCTGCATTTTGATCTCTGGTCTTGTGTCGATTTCGGCCCCTGCCCTGGCGCTGTGGGGCAGAGCAGCTGCGGTGGGCCCAGCCGCAAGCCCCCAGGCACGGGGGGGTGGGTGGGGGGGAGGGGGGCGCTGCCCTGTTAACCAGGGGAACTCACTGTGGCAGGACAGAGCCTGGTGCCCTTTTTGTGGGCCGGAGCATGGGCTGGACTCGCTGCCAGCCACTCCCTGACGCTAGCAGGCCCCGGACTCCAGCAGCAGGTTGGACACATTTATTTGGAAGGGAACAGTGTGCAGCCGGCCCCGGGCCCTGCCCCAGCCAGCGGGGAGCGGGCGGCCCCACCCCCCAGCCTCCTTCAGTCACAGGACAGTAGCAGGGGCCCGGCCCAGCTCCTCACTGCTGGGGGATCTTGGCAGCTTCGGCTTTGATGAGGGCGATCAGGTCCTGGTTGATGAGGAAGACGAAGCGCAGGCTGGCGATCTGCAGGGGAGAGAGAGGTCAGCACGGGCAGGGCCCGGGCCCGGCCCAGCTGAGCTCAGGGGAGCCCCCACAGTGCCACCACCAGGGGCTCCCCTGGGCACCCAGTTAGGGGGCGTCTGACCCCGTCCCCCCACGCAGCGGGCCGGGCGCTCACCTCCACCACCGAGTTGTTGTTGAGCTTCCACTTGCTGGCACCCAGCACCGGGCGCCCGTCCACGTAGATGGGGCGCCGGCCCTCGTTGGCGATGAAGAAATCCCCGTTGTTCTTCAGCTTGATGACGCCTGCAAGGCGCAGCGGGGGGGCGGTGAGGGGGGCACAGAGACCCCACCCACAGCCCAGCTACCAGGCAGGGTGTCACCCATATCCCACACCCAGGGACTGGAGCACTGGGCAGCGCCCCCCTCGCCCCACACCCAGCGGCCCCCGGGGGGTTAGCCCCGCCCCTCCATGGAGAGATCTATGAGCCCCAGCCCCCGATGGGCGTGTCAGCCCCGCCCCTGTACCTTGCTTGCGGGAGATTTTCCAGGCGGGGCCCTCCAGCGCCAAGTCCACGTCGATCTGATTGTCCTTCGTGGCTCTGCCCAGTGTGATCTGGAAGGGGGGGGGCTGTTAGCGAGGTGCCCCCCACGTGCTCCCCCAGGGTGGCTCTAAGCACCAGCCAGCCCAGCCCCCAGGGAGTCCCCTCTGCTCCGCCCACAAGCGCAGCCCCTCCCGTGTGGGCAGGGGCAGGCTCGGAGCCTGTACGCGGCCACCCGGGAGCCCTCTGGAAACAGGAGGCCGGGGTGATGCCTCGGGGCATCTCGGGGCATCTAGCCGGGACCCCCTGCCCCGGCTGA